GCGTGCCATTCTAAACAGAGCTGCAGAGTTCAGACGTCACGGCAAAACTGATAGGTGGAAGCGTCTAAGAAATAAGACCCAGACCATCACAAAACAGGCGAAGTTCTGGTACTACAGAAACTTCATACAATACCTCAAGCAGGAGAACCCTGGCAAATGGTGGAGCTTAGTCAACCGAGAACTCGGTAGATCCCAAGAACGATCCAACCGTACATCTTTCGAGAATGTGCCAGACCACGACGTAGCGGAAGCTCTGAACCAGCTTTCTCTGAAATGTGGTGTCCTGGGAATGATCTCTACCTGTTTCCCCTTCAACAACCCACCAAGTCTGTTGATCTCTGCTCTATTGGGGAGGTCAAAGCACTTCTTAAGAACGTAAATCCCAACAAAGCAAGTGGGCCAGATGACCTTTCAACCTGGATACTCAAAGAGTATGCGGACGACTTCGATCCTGTCATTACTCACCTGTTTAACTCCTCTTATGAAGAGGGGTCAGTGCCTGTAGTTTGGAAGGCAGCGAGCGTTGTCCCCATTCCGAAAGTAAAGGGTGCAACTACGCCCTGCCAGTTTTAGCCAAACTGCTAGAACGGTGTATACTCAAAAGACTGCTTCCCTCCATCACACCCGTCATCACCAATCAGTATGCGTACCTCAAGGAATCGTCCACAGTCATTGCTGTTATCAGAATGGTCCAGACATGGCTAACGGCCCTTGACTCTAAAGACCACATGGTAGTGCAAGCTCTGTTTGCAGACATGAGTAAGGCGTTTGACAGGGTGAACCACTCAATACTTCTCCAGCGAGTGAATGATGTCGTGGGGAGCCCTCGAATGGTAGCATGGATCCAAAACTATCTGACGGGCCGTACGCAGCAGCTGGCGCCAACTGACATCTGGAGTTCCTTAGGGGAGAGTTTTGTCACCTTACCTCTTCCTCCTATTCATGCGCTTACGTGACACCGTATACACCAACACACTAGACGTGGGTTATGCGGATGATGTAGGACTGTCCAGGTCTGTCTCTTTGAAGCAAGTCGGCTCAGACAACACCATGACTGAAGAAGCAGCGCAGCTGGATTCCTGGGCAGTAAGGAACGACATGCTCCTTAATGGAAAGAAGAGCCAGCTGTTGCTGTTGCATTCTAAAAGCATGTATCACAAAAATTAAACGCCTGGGGGTATTTGCTCACTCTACCTTCATGCCAAATTTCATGTTATTTGGCCCAAAAATGAAGGATTTGAATCGATTTAAAGAAATGGCAGGAGGAGAAGAAGAAGGAGAAGAAACATCAGAAAAGACAATATTTCACTCCATGGAGTGAAATAATGAATTCATTGTACAACAGGATGTAATTCTGCCTGTGGCTGCAAATTCCTTGTTTTACCAATAAACCAATTAATTGATTGATTTATTGATTGATTGATTGATTGTGGAAGCAAAACAGAAACCTAAAAGAAAAGTTTACATTACCACAAAAGCCGATGAACCAGCAGTAAAGAAAGATCTCACGGACTATGCCGAGAACTTTGACAAAACAACAGAGGCCAAGTCAGTATCACAGAAGTGGGCAGACTTCAATGGCAAGATGGAACATACTATGAACAGGCACATCCCAAGCAAAATGACTTCAAGCAGATACAACCTGCCCTGGTTTAACAGAAATCCAAGGCGACATTGTCGTAAGAAACAGCGCCTTTATAACAAAGCTAAGAAAACAGAACAAGGGGAAGACTGGAACAAATAAAAGAGAGTTAACCCTCAACAATACACCTTCCCGGACTGATTAATCTGTACACCTGGGGTCCGCGCGGACCCCAGAACAGTTTTTTGCTAATTTTTAGAAATTATCAACATGCTACCAGCTCAATTGCTTTGCAAATTGATGTGTGAACCTCTGAGTACGTACAAAAATCATACATTTTCACCTTTTCTATTTTTTTGTGAAGAAAAGACAAAAAGAAGAAAAACTCGATTTTAAACCCTATTCAGACCGAGTGGTCTTTTGAGGCCCGCGCTTAATTTAATCTCAAATAGCGCCCGAACGGCTTGAGCTAGAGCCATCAAATTTGGTGAGCTTTCCTTAAATGTATCTGGAAAAAATTTCATATTAGTTAAATAAGTAAATGATTTTTGTGTTGCCATGGCAACGGGTTTCTGACAGGCAGTTTTTTTTAATCAGTAAATTTGGTTTTTAAAAACATAAAAATTTTCTGGGTTTTATATTAAATAACACTTCTTTTCTGACATTAATAACATCTTACATAATTAGAGATAAATTACATCATTTAATATTTATAATATATGCTAATTTGATGACGTCATTGGTCAAAATCAAAGATGGCGGACCATATCATTAGCTCTGACGTCTAATAACGTCATAATTACACCAAAGTTGTTAGAATTTAATTCTATTGGTATTCTCTTAAAATGTGATGGCCATACGATAAGTGCATAAAAACATATAAAATTAGAAATAAAGTAATGTATAAGAACGCCAGTGTATCCATTACGATCGAAAGCCGGCTGGGGTCCGCGCGGACCCCAAAAGAAAATCAGATATTTAAAAAAAAATTTAAGAATGGGGGAAACTGGGTTTTCTGCACTGTATTGAGTTACAACTTTGTGGGTAACAATTACCTGAAATTTCAGGAAAAAATCTTTAGAAACAAAAAAAATTATAGCATATATAGTGCTGGGGTCCGCGCGGACCCCAGGTGTACTGTATAGGGTTAAAAGGGGAGTTCAGAAAAGCATAAAACAAGCACACTCGACATATGTGGCAGACATACTGGTAGAAGCTATAGTTAACAAACCCAAAACATTCTGGTCGTACATAAAAGGACTGAGGAAAGACCTTATCGGGGTGGCACCCCTAAAGGTGGGAAATACCATTATCAGTGACAGCGGCAAAGCAGAAGCACTCAGCTCACAGTTCAAAAGCGTTTTCACCGAACAAGACACAACAGATATGCCATCTCTGGGTCAGCCATGTACTCCTCCCATGGAAGGCATAGACGTTTCTATTGGTGGCGTGGAAAAATGCTTCAAGGTCTCAACCCATCTAAAGCATGCGGTCCAGACCAAAGACCACCCTGGCTCCTCAAAATGACAGCTATTTAAATTGCACCTGTGTTAACCAATATTATTCAACGCTCTTTGAACACCGGAGAGATACCTAAAGACTGGAGGGATACAAATATTTGCGCCATTTTCAAAAAGGGAGATACCTAGAGAGCGATACCTAGCAACTACAGACCTGTTTCACTGACCTGTGTGTCCTGTAAACTGCTTGAACACATAATCCATAGCCAAGTGATGAAGCATTTAGAAAGTCACAACATAATGACGGACTACCAGCATGGATTTAGAGCTAAGCGAGCCACAGAAACACGGCTCATACTAACAGTTCATGACTTAGCTGGTGCACTGAACACTAAATGATAAATACAAAAGTTTGACAGCAATATTATTAAAATATTTAATGTCACTTTACCATTAATGCTTCCTGAACAGTAATTCTGAGCTAAAATGTGTTTCATAGACCATAACTGTACAAATGTGTTCCTAATAAGATGACAGATATCTACATTTTCCATTTAATGAATGACCATCTAATGACTTTTCCAAAAGTCATCTGTGATCACGATGTGTATTGTGTCGCATGACTGTAATACTTAATTCTGTAAACCACCACGACTTTTCTAACTATTTTCCTTTCTACCAATATCTAGCAGACCAAGAACAGGCGCCTGTTAACCACGTCAAACTGGTTGTAACATGACGCTTTAAAGGGAAACAGGTGGTTCGAAAAAACTGACATGATATCAAGCATGGTATGTCTGAAAAGTGATTTCATACACTTAAATCGCTAATCCATATTGTTTAGGACACTGCGGCCGTTTGAAGTTTCGGAAATTTGACAAATTGGCCGCCGCAATTTTCCAAGTGACGGCGAAGCTCTTAAAAACTAATCCGCTCTGTTCAAATTATCTTCCTTCCTTTCCGCCATGCACCTAAATGACAGTATTCTCCCATCCCACTTCCGAGTGTTGGTGGAACCTTCAAACCAGTAGACGGGGCTAAACTACGTCATCGCAAAGGTAGCGGTCAAAATGTCGACGCCAGTTGCTTGCCGAAACTTCAAACGGCTAGTAGCGCTCTAAACAAGATGGACTGGCGAACTATGTATAAGTAATTACTTCTCAAACATACCGTGAATTGGTATAATGTCAGGTTTGTCCTTCTTAAAGGGAGGATTATATTTTATTCGCATTGTACCTTCACAATGCAAGTTAATGAAATACGCCAAAACTGTTACTAAAGCAACTGGATATGGGACAACAGCCAAAAGTTTCGGGTAGCATTCACTACATTTCATCATTGACACTGGAGAATTCTCAGAAAATCAGGTTTAAAAGCACGAACTATTACCTGGTATGCAAATATTTCAAGGCAAGTTTCTGATAGTCCAAAAGGAAAGGTTGGTGAAAATTAGTAAAAAAGCTGTTTTTTTTTTCAAGTGCCATCTGTCCTCAGGGCTAGTGGCGCCATATCAAGTGCCTGAGAGTTCTACCTCTACCCACCACCAACCCTCCCTGTTGAAGGTGGGGTTATGCATTCTTTTATATATTGACTTTCTAACTCATTGTTTACACCTGCGGGTTTTGCGGTCTAAGATATCTGTTGACTTGAGTTTGAAAGAGTTATTCTGGTTGTGTTATAGGTGGTAGAGAATGGCTGAGGAGTAGTCGTTAGCGCTTCGTCTGTCATGTTTCTTGTACCTTACTTTAAGCCGCCGAGTGGCAAACCGTACACGCCACATAAAACGCGTATTATTATAACTAACTTGAAACTTCTAAAAGGCAATTGAATGATATCCATGCCAAAATTTTAAGGATGTTTATATTTTATTTATTACTGTTGAAAATTATGACATTTGACATTGACACTTGCAAAAACTGCAAATTTGCTACTTAACCGTCTAAAGATATAGTCACCCGATGTTCAAATAAAACTGGTATATAGCGAGAATGTACTGACGAAGTCGTTGGCGCCTGACGCTCACGAGATCATACGCGTCAAAGGACTAGGTGTAGAGTACAATTTGCGATTATATCTCCAAGAAGTAGATGTAGACAAAGTGTTATCACGTGTGGTGCCCAGGAACAACCGGCGTCACAAGAGAAGGTATTGCAAAAAATGCAAGTGGGGTTGATGGTCATACAAACAGAACTATTTACACCATATACTTCCCGCGATGATAAATCTTAACCCTAAAAGCTAAAAGTGCCCGCGCCAACTTTGATGCCAGATAGCATCTGAACTACTTGCACTAGAATCACCATACTCGGTGACGTTTTAAAAAAATATATACCTAGGAACAAGTTCATTTTTTAACATTAATAACATATGGTAGAATTTTATGCAATTCTCATCAATAACTATGTATTACTCATATAATTATGTATAACTAATGCTAATATGATGACGTCATTGGTCAAAATCTAAGATGGCGGACCAATCACTAGATCAGTCATGTCCAAGCTACTATACTTAAATTTTATCACTACTTAAATTTCTTCTGACATTAAATGTTTTTGATACCCATTTGGTTTTAGGCTTTTTGTTGAAAGAAGCGTATTACAGAAAAGTCAAAATTGACGAAACAAGGTGGCAGATAGCTTAGATATGAATGATGTCATTTATGATGTCACTAGTGTTTCTATGGGCATCTGAAGTTTCAGTAAACCTTAACGTTCTATTATAAACCCTTTTTAAAACTTATCCTATTACCTGTCTAGACCTTTTTAGTTAATAAACTCACATGAATAACAAAATAATGACGCCAGAGTACGTCATAATGACATTAAATTTGTTATAATTAATCTTTACTAGTACACCCCCTCTAAAACTAAAACATGGTAGCCATACGATATACCGTTTACGAGTTCTGAGAGGGGGGCGAATAAGACGAACGAATCCTGCAAAGCCCAGTCTAGATAGGGTTATTAGCTTTGCTGGTTCTCCGTAACGACTTGCTTGAATAAACTGTCTAGATCGTCTTGAAATGAATATCCAAACATATCATAGTCAGATTTGTATAGCTGTCCAATACGTTGTATATCCTCCAACGGTATCTTCATAAAGCCCTCAAGGTAGAACCTGCTGCCGACTCTTTCCTCCATATCAGGTATAATGTTATCTCGCCCAACAATGCCAGCTTTCTTGAAGAAAAGATGGAAGTCTTCCACCAGCGTTTCGGTGTGGGCGATGTAGTTCCAGTCAACCTGGTGGAAAAAATATCGTAATTAGAAATAAAATGTTTCCCTTAGGGCACAACCGTGCTCTACGCCAAATCTTTTTTCAGAACACGAATTAAAGGAGTTTTTACCTTGAAGTATGTACGTCAATTGACTTTATAGAGTTGCCAACAATGGGCACCTTTTTTGCAATACTGTAAACAATCTAGTTGACTTTACACAACCTAGACATTATAAAATATATACATCATTATTATCATTATGTTTTAAAACAACTTTTTATTTTTTAATGGTAACCCACAAATGCCTCTTATGCATAATTAATACAGAACCTACATGGCATATCTAATCGAATACAACATGGCTGTTTGGTTACTTGATTAAGAGGGAGTTATTATTGAGCCTGAGGGTGACCGAGCACGTCGTATGAGGAATTCAAGAACCTATTGTCAGCACTGTAATATACATAATGGTACACGGGGAATTTAGCAAACATTAGTTTTATAATATAAGGCTAGGTCGTTTTTATTTATGTCATCATTGCGTTGAAATATCCTGCCTGGTTATTTGGGTCTTTAGAATACATATGCTGACTGAAGTACCTGGTGTATTCCTCACACAAACACCAACACAACATTCCGTGAATTGCGGGGTCCCTAAAGAACAAAATGTAATTGCCAAACAGATCACCTGCTCTATTTCTTCTATAGAAGCTTACTGTTCTCGCTCAACATCTGCGTATCTCCGCAGGTGTACCCGAGATACACTAGCATTCATCCTACATTCGCAACGTACTATCAGATTCCTGTCTTTATAAACTAAAAACTGGCTGTTGTATCTTAAGTGTTGTCCTGCTTTTCTTACACCATTCATACAGTTCATACAAGAATAAAGATGACCATAAGTGACACTGTCAAATGTGGTAGCGATGATTCTGCAGAAAATAACGGAAAATTAATGTAAAAAGGCAAAAATGTTGTAGTGTATATACCATATGAATGGATGTTTCGCTTTTTACCTGACATGGTGAACACAGTTGGTATACTGGCTGCCAGTGCGGATTCATCCATCTTGTCTGGTTTTCTGCTATAGCTCTAATGAAGGCTAGAAATGGTATGTGTTTCAGGGTTCCATTCAGATATGTCATCTCCACATCCTCTGACGAAAAAGCCACCTAAAGAAGAGTTTTACGCAGAAAAATAACAATCTTGCATTAATCCAGGGAACACATAGCAAATACCACATTCTGATTCTATTTTTACTGAGCCAATTATGCTAAGTGATAGATGGACCAAAGCCAATGCTAGTTTACTGGGATATAGTGTTGCCTACAAAGGGACTGACTGACTCTCTAGGCTGTTATAATTGGCTGTTGCTTCTTCGTCTACGTACACGCTGTGGTACGCTACTTGCGACTTAGAGATAATGCCCACACTATAATCTAACCATAAATGAGAGCAGTATTAGAGACCTTACTTAAACACCATATCAACACCTGTACATTTGAACTAAAAGATGTATTACAATAGTTTAATAGCGCTGTAAAAACGTTTAACCTTTTCCCTTGACCTGTCATCCGTAATCGTCTCCAGCATACTCTGGTAATGTTCGATAAACCAGTATCTCATCGCCCCACGAATGTCCATGAACTTGTTCATCCAAGCCGAAGCCAGTCTAAAAACATAAGAAAAAAACTAGAAAGGCAGATATTTGCTGGAAAGCAAATGCAGCAAATGGCTTTACCACACCCCCTGTACGAAAATGGACCTATCCCTCTCCCGCACAGCTAGTTAGTTCCTAAATCACCCCTATTGAAAATGTGAACTGCTCCAATAGTCTATACCCCCATGCAGCAATGGAATCTTCCAACGCATTTTGCTGTTGGAACATGCAAAACCAGTGTTCTATTTAGAACTGTCAGTTTGGAATTTAGATTTTCAAGCTACAATCGTTGTTTTTATATGACTGGTTTATTGATGTCAATGTAAAACAGTTTTGCAGAACCCAGGGGTTCTGAATTGCACTGTTGCTCACAATTATATATTACAAATATGTAGCCCATTAAAAGGTTTGAAATCAAACAACATCTGTTACAACATATACACATATAATAAAATCTATTAAAGTATAGTTATAAGTGTTAATGAGTTTGCATTGCTGAATAAAATACTTATTTAGATAACGAATTCGTAGATAAAACACTGGTCAAAAAGACGGTTACTAAACAAAACGTGTTTTTACCAAAATGAAGGTAAATAAAGTTTTTAGGTTTAGCCCTCAAACACCCGAACGGGGTCCATTTGGACCCCAGACGTATATTTTTTGTGCTATTTAAATTTTTTTTACAAGTTCTCCTAAATTTTATTTGGAGATCGGCACAAATTTTTAAAAATAACAACGGAAGTCTGATGTAAGACCGTCTGGCGTCCAAACGGACCCCAGTCATGTATGTGCACTTTCCTACACACGAAATTGTTCGAATGTCCTCAATATGTCTTCAAGGAAGCATTATTGCTGTCATATTACGCAGTTTGCCAAGTAACCTCAACCTCAGGAATTATTTCATCAGGTTTTCAGAGGTTTGACAATTTGACAATCATATGAGGTCAAAGGTCTCATCCTATTTTTGCATAAATTATGATAATGAGCTGGAAATTTTTAACACTTAATCGTGCCAAAATAAACGTCTTAATATATGTAACCAATATATGTGCAAAGGTCCCCGAAAGGATGTAAAAATGAATATAAATTTAAAAGAAACCAAATGGGGTCCATTTGGACCCCGTTCGGGCATTAACGTCACAAAAAAAGTTCGGGTGTTTGAGGGTTAATCTGATTAGTAAACATTATAGTCTTAAGTATTCTGCACAACGCTACCCTTATACTAAATTACAGGTTATTTGATTTTCGTAGTAGCGCACAGGAGCCAAAAATGTACACCATTGGTCCAATATAGCAAAAAAGCCTCATTTTACATAATTTAAAGTAAAACACGCCCAAAGCGTTAAAAACACTCTGTGGGCTTGTATTCAAATTCCAGGTCATTTCGTTATAATATTAGGGCATATGAGCCAAAAATGTGAATTTTCTGGTCCGGAAATAGCCCAAAAATATTTTAAACAATTTGGTGTATGTGTATGTCAGTGGTGTATGTCAAAAGCGTGTATCAAATGTATTCCAATACTGAATTTCAAAAACATGCTGAATATAATAAATATTTTGTCCCACCTTTCAAGAGGATCGCGTACTACAATGAACTTTATATAGGTTTCCAGTCGACGGTAGATCTCAGTTTCTGTAAATTCACTTAGGAACTTTAGATGCTTGCTTCCAAGAAAAAGGGTAGTAGTATTAGTTCCATGCTCAAGGTTGTAAAACACATGCTTGGTAGTCGTAGTTCCAGTTTTAGGCACAAAGCAGTACAGGATCTGATATTTGTCGTTAACAATGAATCGACTTATCGCTTCTTTTGACACAGGCTCCTGGTAAGGATATTAAAAAAAACGACAGCGTTACTATTTCATAATAAACACAATATGCTCCTATAGACAGGGGAGTTTATCTAAACTATAAACGTTTAAGATTTTTATATCAGACCACAACAAGTAATTTCTTTGGATGACTTAAGTGTGCATTACTTTTCGCCTGATTTGGAAAAAAATTCCATCTGTCAGTGGGTATCATGCCAAAAATGGGTAAAGATATCTAGGTTCTAATTACTTTGACGCAGTGACGTATTCCATTCCTTCTATATGTGATGGTGGTTGTGTATATGTAATGTTTTGACTAAATCGAAATCATTTGTACAATGATTGAAAACTTGCTTAACCCAATCTAGACCTTTTTTTTATTGTATATCGTATGACCACCTATTCCACGGCTAGTAAGAATTAAATCATGAAAATTTCGATGCCGTAATGTGATGCCATTATTACGTCATTTATGTTATTTTATTGGCCCAAACCATCTAGATATTGTAGATTATTATCTCAAAAGTTAATGGTATGAAACGTAACTTCAAGAAAAAGTGTCTATGATAGAATATTCGGGTCTACAAAGACTTATAGCAACACCGGTAACGCAATAAAATGGCGTTATGTATATTTAAGCTATCTGCCGTATTCAATCATCAATCATGAATCATTATAAAAGCCTAAAAACACATTAAAATAGAGTAAAGACTATCATATGAACGTTTTTGGCAAAAGAAATCAAAGTAGTGACGAAATTTTAAGGAAAATTACCAGTATATACCTGATCATATAATATGGTCCACATTCATGGACTTTAGGTAATGACATCATCAAAATACCATGGATTATACATTTTAATGGTAAAAATTACATAAATTACATCATACGTTATTACTATCATCAGGAGGCTTGACAAAAACCCATTAACGTCTATAGATGAAACGAAAAATCCTGATTTTTGATGGCAACACAAAAAATCTTTGACTAAAATCTTTGACACTGATACAAAATAATTGAGAAGTATATTTTAATAACAAAAGTTTGGCGGTTCTAGCGTAAGCCGTTCGGGTGCTACCGGGCATCAAAGTTGGCACGGGCACTTTAGCCCCCCCCCCCCCCGTCTAGATTGATAATGACTTTTTCACACACAGATAAACTTTTAAGATAATATACGTAGTTATTGGATGCTAGTTTATTATTGTAAGAGTTGATATGCTTGCAACTTACATTGGTCTTAAAACCACGTCCTCTGCAGTAGTTTTGAAAAATTGCCATCCGTGTTGTCTGCTCCTGCTCTAGACTCTGGAATCCAGTACCTTTAAAGTAGAACATAAATCATTACCGTGCCAATTTTTGAATTTTGATTTTAGTAGAAACGTACATATTTTTTGTTTTACATGCAAACTTTGTGTCGGAAAAAGTGGCCACTGCACTGGTTTAGCAAAATAGAATAACCCAAATGATGATATCCAAACTGATGTACGCAAGTTAATACACCATGTTAGTGTATAGGCAGAAACCTAAGAAAATGACATATATATCTTGACTAAAATACCACATACGTGATTTACTAAAGAAGAATCCGTACGGTTCCAGTCTTATGCTAAAAATATTCCCAAGATCATAAGCTATCTATCATTTAGGCATCGACACCATGGAATGGCCATACACAGTGTTTTATGTCGATAATATTTTCTTTTTAAACTCTTAGTCCAAACCTTTTATTATGCTTAAGGGCACTGTTTTCGCCTTGTGCAGATTTATGTCTCTTCCAGCAACATACTCAGCCTGCACGGTGTTATTACCCTGACGAAAATGTACCAGGAATATTGTCGACAAAGCTGCCATGAGAAAGAGAGCAGCGAAAAGTCGATGCTTCGAATTTCTATGAAACAAGCACAGCATCATCTTTACAGCGATACAGCGGTCCGTGTTTGACGCTAATCCTGAAATATACGCAATAGATACATTAAATTAATAAAAGATACATCCAGAAACATTAAATTTTTACAAAGTTAATTTCATTTGTGGGCATGTCCAACTAGAGTAAAATCACTTGCCTACACGTCAATTGTAAGACCGAACCTAAAATATGCCGCGATGGTATAGGATCCATATACAAAGAAAAACAAAGACAAATTGGAAAGGGTACAGTATCAAGCTGCAAGATTCTGTATGAACAAGTATGATAGAGGTGCTAGTGTCACGGAAATGAAAAGAAACCTACAGTGGGCCTCACTGGAAGACAGAAGAAAGATGTCCAGACTACGCATGATGTACATAATGACTGATAAACTGGTGGACGTTTCAACTACTAAGTACCTAATACCAGCCCAGAAAAGAACAAGAAATAGCCATGCCTTCAAGTACAAGAGTTATCAACCAAGGATTGAGGTGTTCAAGAAATCATTCTTTTCTAGAACTATCGCAGAGTGGAACTCACTGTCACCAAGTTCAGTAGAAGCATTGTCTTTAGATAGCTTTAAACAATGTCTAGAGTTAGAAGTTTAAGGGTTAGGTGTAACAAGTCGATCGGTGTAATATAGCCAGCTGCCGCCGCGCCGCATGCCTGCGAAGCTGGTGTGTTATGCTGAAAGGCGGTTATACCGGCTATACAGATACAGATACCCTATGCAATTTGGTGCCAAAGGAAAAAAAAAACATAACCAAAATTAGACGAATCAAAGGTTTAGTATTCTCCTAGATGATTATTTTATCTGGAATTTGTTATCGTTCAATTTTGATTAACAAAAAAGTACGTATAACATGTACTTTGTTGAAATTGGAAACATGATTTTGTTTTACGGTGTAATTTTGCAGTAGACTACTTTACATCAATTAGCTTTATCTTTCCCATTGCAGATGGATACAACGTCTTGACGTTTTGGTTGTTGTTATGCATTAGGTGACGAATTTACTAAAACGTTAGACAGTGCATACATAACGAAAAAGTACTTACCAGGACGGAAACTTTTGACAAACAGAACAACGAAAAATACACTGTCCTAATCTAGTAATGTAGTAGCTTTTAGTAGTTGAAGCATTCTCTCCAGCGTTTGGCGCTAATTTGCATTTTTTCCTTGTCAGCTGGTTTGCTACACAATGCCGAATGCTGTCATTTACAAACCTCAGCAAACCAATGAAATGTCACCAATCATGCATATTCATAACGCCAAAAGCGCATAACGTCACTATTCCCGGACAATTGTGCAGATAGCTAGAGACGACAGAGTAATTCGGCTGAAAAAAATTACGGTGAGCAAAATCCCTTTCGTTTAATTTGCTTTAAAACGTATTTATCGTGTGTTTTAATATTATTATGACCTGCTCCAAACGTTCGACCACATCTGCGCCTGGTTATTGGCTAAATATGGTTACCTATGGCTGGGATTTTGTCTTACAATTAAATTTAAATAGTTTTACCTGTCAGTGAAGTCTACAGACCTTTAAAACATAAGTAAGTCTTATGCACGTTAGGCCTAACTTTGTGCTGTGTTCTATCTAATACAATTATAGTAAGGTATCCACGAAAATATTTTATACATTTGAAGGTTTCGCCAAAAAGCAGGTACTCAAGCAACAGGATATTATTTTGGAGACGGCTAGACGATTCCGCTAGTATCCACTAGCTTTCGTCAGTGACTGAGAGACCAGAGGGGAAATGCAGTTTTAAAAGCACAAACTATTGATTGATATGCAAATAAAGTGAAGACAATTTTTGGAAGTCGAAAAGGGAACAAAAGTTAAACAAGACAAGGCAAGATGATGAAAAATAGTCAGAAAGCTCCTGTTATGCAGAACAGGAGCTTAATTGTTGTTTGTCCTCTGGGCTGGGAGTGCCAAATCCCAATTGCTTCAGAGCTGTAGCCCCCCTTACCTGTTGAGGGTGGTGTTGTACATTCTTTCATACATTGCCTTTTTAACATCCCATTGCCACCAGCGTGTTTCGCGGTCTAAGATGTATATAAATGGTTTATTTGCAAATTGACATAAAACTAAAACAACACTGCAGCCTAATAATACAATGTATTGTACAAGAGGCTGAATTACGTAGTTTTAGGGAACACACAAAATGGCATTCATATTTACCAGCATAACCAAACTAAGTAACAAGAATATATACAATTGGTAGTCGGATGGTTACACGGTAGACGAAGCACCGTTTTGACAAATATGGAATAGCACTGTTCTTGTACCTTTCAGATTTTATAGACGGTAGCCCCCCTCCCCTTTAAGTTCCTATTATGTACTTCGTTGCAGGAAGTTTAAACGTTGGTGAATTCAACAGAGATTTTGCAAACATAAGACACAATGATTCCCTTCTGGCTTTTCGAGTGCAGATGTTAAAAGTAGAGAGTACAGTATTGGAAGTGTACTAATATCCAAGAATAATTCTGAGGGCACAATTCTGAATGAGTACAAGTTGGTGGGATTGTAGAGTGGCTAGAACACAGGGACTGCATATTCTATGACTGGTCGAACGTATAATAAACTAGAGTCACACAATCTCATACCTTCACCAAATGATGTTAATCTTTATGACAAAATAAAGATTATTCCTCCTGATTATGAAAATGGGATCCTCATTTGCATAAATTATATCACCTAATCACATTCTCAATCAAAAGACAGCCTTATCTTAACCCTACCTAGACCGGGCTTTTTTTGACATGGGGGGACGGGGGGGGGGCTCATTTGACCCCCCTAAGAACTCGCGAATGGTATGTCGTATGACCACCAAATTTTCAGAGAATGGTGTACAAGTGGAAATTTATTATATCTACAATTTTTATGTCGTTATGACGTAATTAATGTGATTTTATTGGCCAAAACTGTCTAAGTAGGTTCTTCCCTGAAAACTAAATGGTATTTAACATAACTGTACCAAAAGTGCTTATGACAGAATATTATGGTGTACTAAGCTTATGTTGCCCATAGCAACACCGGTGACGTCATAAAATGACGTCATGTATATTTAAGATATCCGCCATCTTGGATCATCAATCTTGAATTTTCAAAAATAGTTTTTTTCATGATAAAGCCTAAAATACATTGTTAACATACTAAAGACCTTCATTTAAACCTTTTTTGGAAAAAGAAATGGAAGTATTGATAAAATTTTAATGAAAATAACCTGTATATATCTGTTCTAATGATATGGTCCGCCATCTTGGATTTGGCCATTGACGTCATCAAATTAGTATAAATTATGCATATTTGATGATAAAATTTACATAAAATTATATGGGATGTTATTAATATTAGAAAACATAAAACCCATAAAATTCTATTGTTGAAACAAAAAGTACTACATTTAGCAAAAAATGCCTGTCAGAAACCCGTTGCCATGGCAACACAAAAATGTTTATCTTATTCCAATGATAGAGAATTGTTGCCAAAAATATTTTAGGAAAAGTCACCAAGTTTGGCCGTTCTACGGCTAGCCGTTCAGACGCTAGGTGACATCAAAGTTGGCGCGGGCACTTTTAGCCCCCCCACCCGGTCTTGGTAGGGTTAACAAAGATAGCCATTCTATCTTTTCCTTATAAATTATGCAGATGAGGTCCTCATTTGAATAAGTGATGTTTTATGATGTTCACCTCTACTTAACTTTCAAATACCCCAAGTATGAAATTCCAGGCAGTTACCTTTATGTAATTATAATATTTTTCATTAATTATGCAAATCAAATATTAATTTACATGATTAATACCTGCCTGTATTAATTAATACCTCTCGTTCTCGTTACATGCGTCACAAGCTTAAATAGTCCTTTAATGTAATGCAGCTGATATATAGAATTTCCTCATTAATTATGTTTTTTTCACTATTTTTTTTTGTCTCAACTCCGTGTTTTTTCACATAAAACGTTCATATGAGCATCTTCAGTCCGTTTAGTGCGTTTGAGATGATATCTTGAAAAAAATGCAATTTTTAAAATTCAAGATTTCCGATCAAAGATGGCGGACAGCTTAATTATGCATGACGTCATTTTATGGCGTATATGACTATGTATCTATGTATATGAGAGAGAGAGAGAGAGAGAGAGAGAGAGAGAGAGAGAGAGAGAGAGAGAGAGAGAGAGAGAGATGGGTCTGATGGCCCACGCAAAATTGACGAAGAGCCATGCCGTCCGCATAGACGTTATCCAGAACTAATACTTACTGCTTATCATGGGTTTTCCTTTTGCAACACAGCACCTCTGCTAAGTTGTTTGTTCTGCCCAGTGAGGTATGCTGCTAGCTTGATGCACACTGGAGGACCCTGAATGTCAACCTGGCCAGTTCCAGATTTAACAGTGAGCCAGTTGGACTGCTTTTCGTTCACCCTTACAACACTCACACTGATGTAGAAGAAGGCTTGCGGTACTCGGATGTACTTTGCTGGGAGACCATAGAAGGAGAAGGCTCTATAGATATACTCACGCCTAATGCTATCAAAGCTGCATTAAAATCAATAGAGTTTAGATTCAGAGGGATGTTGAATTCGATACTTCTTTGAGTGACTGTCTGTAGAGAGTATATCTGATCAATGGATGCCACATTGACTTTCCCTAAGTAACTTTTCCAGTTTTTTCGAGACGACACAGGACCAAGAATCTGAAATAACTTTGATGCAGTGGATCTGAGACTTATGTGTTTGGTGTCCCCTTTCTTGTGCAGCACTACGATTATGCTTTTCGACCAAACCTCTGAAATTACCCTCTCTATTTCAGACCTTGGCAAAAAGAACTTTTATGGGCTTGATTAGACCCAGTGCACCGTGCTTCTGCTGTTCATTGGCTATTCCGTCAACACCAGGAGATTTGTGATTCGTCGGTCTTTTAAGATCATTCTGGATTTCCGCAGCTGTTGGCGGGCCATCATCTTCCCCTAGGTAGGTAAAACATGGAACATCTGGCTTGCTGTCCAACTCTGTAAGATCGAAGTCATCCTGTCGTGGGTTAGGGTAAGGGTTAATTCTGAGAAGTGTTTACCCCGCCGTTCTCGCTGACAGTCAGGATCGGAAAATTTTTTTGGCACCTCATGTTCGACAGGATTCTTATATTCTGCCAGACTTCTTGTTGGTTTCAACGAGTAGCTGCCGTTTCTAGTACCGTAACAACCCTGTGAGCCCAGTTATTGTCAGTTTTGGAGCTTTTCCTCACCAGCTTGTTTCCCCTGAAATACTCTGATTGATTTAGGTTGGATGAAGGATCCCGTTTCGTACCCTCAGATCACTTTATGATCAGGTTCTTAGTTTCCAGAATTGTTCTTTTAAACCTGAAGGGTATAGAACACAAGTTTAACAAAAAGTGTTCATGATAGGATATTTGGGTCTACTATAACATATGTTGCCCATAGCAATTCCAGTTACGTCATAAAATGACGTCGTTGATATTCAAACTATCCACCATCTTGGATAGTCAATCTTGAATTGACGAACATATTTTTTTCAAGTTAATGCCTATAGAGGTTTAAATCACCATCTTATGTAAGAAAAAAATAGCCAGAATGTACCTGATCTAATGAGACGGTCCGCCATCTTGGATAATGACGTTATTAAATTAGCATAAATTATGCATGGTTATTAATAAGAATAACATAAATTTTCACAAGATGTTATTAATGTTAGAAACCGTGTGTAATTTAACATAAAACCCTGAAACGATTTTCGTTGCAACCAGAAAAAACTACTCAATTTTGAAAACTTTTTTTTTATTTTAACATATCTAAATGATATGAAATTGTTGCCAATTATATCTTAGGAAAAGTCACCAAGTTTCGTGGTTCTAGTGCAAGTCGTTTGAGCGCTATGCCCAAACGCCCCAGCTTAGATAGGGTTAAGGCACAAAAGTCCAGTCGGCGAGTTCCGTTGTCACTTGAATCATTGTTTGAGTTTATTGCAAAAAAAATGTCTAGATAGACTATTTTCTTAAAACTTAATGATATACAAGGCATGTTTAACAAAAAGTGTTTAATAGAATATGATAATATAAGGTCTACTAAACGTATTTTGCCCAAAGCCACACCCGCTACGTCATTGAGTGACGTCATAAATATTTAAACTATCAGCCATCTTGAATCGTCAATCTTGAATTTACGACAATACTTTTTTTCAAGATAGCCTGAAATAAAATGAAAATAGACTAAATACGTATAAGTTAAAGGCATCCAGTGCGATTTTTTTGCATTAAAACTGGAAATATTCTGAAAAAGGAAATCTGTTTGGTATTGACACATACTACCTCACTTTAGCACATCTGCGTCAGAATTTCATACTTTACGCGTTTAAAACAGCGCAGAAACTAGTGTCCTCTATTTTAGGAGTGCATCCCCAAAAATCAGGCAATATCGCCCCCAGTAACCGTTTTCACTCGGCACCTCTCGGCAAATCCCGGCCGCGTGACGTCACGGCGAGCGCGAAGTTTCAGCCGAGCCAAGATGGCGGACGTCAATGGCACCACACCAAACCCGAAAAAGCGTGGCCGTGGAAGGCCTCGTGTTGGGACACCAGCAAAGAAAGGAGAATCCAGGCGAAGCTCAGGAAGTCGTGTGGCGTTAGGGGAAGACACGAAAGTCGAGTGGAGGGAACTGAAGGATCGACTGGGACTGGAGAGCGACAGCGCACTCGCGCGGCGTTTGTTGGACAGGTTTGTAAAATTTTTCTCGGTTCTGTTCGAACATGTTCATACAAAAATATGCGGGCCATCTGAAACTTCGACAAAACTTGTTACAGTTAGACATAGCCATAGGTTGCATGGGACCTTTTTGTGTTCAGTTTTAGCTTGTTGTATGTGTTTTGAGGCGGAATCTTTGTAGTAATTATGGAGATAGACGGAAAGCTGAGAGATCAAAAAAATTCTATCAAACAGAGGTTTTTGGGAACTGACTCGTCGTAGACGTGAGAGGTTCGTAAATCAGTTGTCTTTTATAATTTCTGTGTTGCCCTCCGCAATTTTTGCGAAAAATCCCTAAGTTTGGTCATATTTATAGTTTGTATAAACTCGAACTTGTATAGATTTGTGAATCCAAGCCTCGAGTAGGGTAAATTATGCGCCGAGTTGACCTAGATGTCATGGGTGTTGGACCGAGTCATAATTTAGTAGATTTATGCAGAAGTACGAGCGGTGAAAGTCATACTAGCGGTACTTGATTGTGTTCTGACAAATCAGGACTAAACATACTATTTTTGTAATGAAAGTAATGCTGGTAGTGGTACTGCTTGCAATGCTGGTTAGTTTAGGTGAAATTCACAACTGTTGAATGTGAATGCATTAGAAATGCATTGAATGCAATGAAAGAAAATAGATACTATCTACATGAAAATTATATGGGCTATTTTAGTGCAGGGAAGTTCACCAACTATAAAATGTAAGGAAATAATCACATGGTTTTTGAACAGTTTCCAGGTTTCTGCATCCCAGCCCCCCACCTGTACCTGTACCTGTATGGTTGCTCCCAGGTCGTCCAGCCCACAGACTTTGTCACAGCCACCTACCTTTGATGCTGGTGATGTGTCTAGTGTGGGTGAACATTCAGAAAGTGAAGAACTGGAGAGCAGGTAATTTTTTTTGCACGAAGATGTTTGGATTGCAATTTGGATGATGACTTGGATCAAACGTTGTAGAAATGTAACTTTCATGTAACTACATGTACCAACACAGATGAACTTTTATGATTGTAGATGTTGGAAATACTAGTATGTTCTGTATATGTGAAAGTGCTAAAATTTTCTGACTCGAGTTTGCTTTTTGAACATGACATTTACCATTTCAATCTATAAAGAAGTCATGTGAAGAGAATATTTACATCATTTAAAAATTATTTCAAACTGGTGTAATGAAAATTTTCACTTTATAATTCATACAGCCTATCCCATCTCAATGTCTGTGATCCAGAGGATGAAGCAGAGATTAACGCTCTGGAAAACACTCAGTAAGTTGATAGCCTCTTGTTAGTACATGTATTATTGCATGATTTGAGTATTATACCATAGTTCACTCAGATGTTCTGCTTGGATAGTAAGTGATGTGGATAGTATGAGAGTCTGTACACAGCACTTCATCTTTTCATTTGTTTTATATATATTTTCAGTTGTTATTTATCAGGTTCTTGTCATAATAATATCATTAATGATTGTTTTTATTTTGTATGTTTAACCCTACCTAGACCGGGGGGGGCTAAAAGTGCCCGCGGCAACTTTGATGTCACCTAGCGTCTGAACGGCTAGCCGTAGAACGACCAAACTTGGTGACTTTTACCTAAAATATTGTTGGCAACAATTCTCTATCATTGGAATAAGATAATAATTTTTTGTGTTGCCATGGCAACGGGTTTCTGACAGGCATTTTTTGCTAAATTTAGTACTTTTTGTTTCAACAATAGAATTTTATGGGTTTTATGTCAAGTTACTCATGGTTTCTAATATTAATAACATCCCATATAATTTTATGTAAATTTTATCATTAAATATGCATAATTTATGCTAATTTGATGACGTCATTGGCCAAAATCCAAGATGGCGGACCATATCATTAGAACAGGTATATACGGGTTATTTTCATTAAAATTTCATCAATACTTCCATTTCTTTTTACAAAAAAGGTTTGAATGAAGGTGTTTAATATGTTTACAATGTATTTTAGGGTTTATCATGAAAAAAAACTATTTTTGAAAATTCAAGATTGATGATCCAAGATGGCGGATATCTTAAATATGCATGACGTCATTTTATGACGTCACCGGTGTTGCTATGGGCAACAAAAGACTTAGTACACACTAATATTCTGTCATAAACACTTTTGGTAAAGTTATGTTGTATACCAGAGAGGTTTTCAGGGAAAACCCTATTTAGACGGTTTTGGCCAATAAAATCACATTAATGACGTCATAATGACGTCATATTACGTCATAACGACATAAAAATTGTAGATATGATAAATTTTTACTAGTACACCATTCTCTGAAAATTTGGTGGTCATACGACATACCGTTCGCGAGTTCTTAGGGGGGGTCAAAAGAGCCCCCCCCCCGGCCCCCCCATGTCAAAAAAAGCCCGGTCTAGGTAGGGTTAAGACAAAAATGTACACTTTGGGCTCCTTGGTCCACACATGGAAACACTTGATACTGAACGGAAACAGTTGATATGGAACAGTCCATTTTGGAATTGGGAGGTATTAAATGAACGTTGTATTTTCAAATTAATTGTTCAAAATAAACAGCAATACACATTTTAATAGATAAATACTACGTCTTAAGACTACTGTTAGTATTCTGTCCCCTGTATAATGGTAAGGCCCAAACAAGTGGTCGGTTATTCGATTCACTTCAATAATAAAGCATCATATTTTGGCATCTTTAATTTCTCAGTGGCATTTATTTACAACAGAATAGGGTTCATTCAACTTACTTTTCAAAGAAATAAAGAGAATTTCGCTTTTGTACATGTTGTAGAAATGAATGTACAGGGTCATTACAGAAAGACATATTTCAGTGGTGTAACTACACATTTGATTGTACCAAGACTGAATAAATGTAACTCTCAAAGCAGATCTTTTGGTGGAAGCAATACAGTGTCGGGTAAAAAGGGCCGTTACCGTTTGCCACCCGATGTTCGGCTGACCCCACCAAAAAATACCGGTACATAATTCAAAATAACGCAAAGGGTCTCGTCAAAAAAAAATAAACCGTTCCAAGACCGAGCCCTGCCACAGACTGTTTAAAAAGAGTGTTGGTACACTGAAATGAAAATATAAAGATTGTAAATAAACTCAGATTTTAAAACACGAAAACAAAATATAGTTTTGGTTACCTATAGACGTGTCCGTTGCGTCAGGTGAATTGACATGACGCCTGATGTTCCTGCCATCAGCCCCCTCCATGGGCGGTTCTCCCCGTAACCCAGCCCGCTGCAGCCGCGCCTCACGAAATGGCGGCGACAGATTTACGGTCTCGGCATCTTCGTACGTATCTGAAGACGTTTCTAGCCCTTTCTGCCGCTTGTGATAAGCGGCGTTGCCATGGCGGGCACGCCCGTGCAGACCACTCTGGTGGACAGAAGGTGCTTGGGCCTGTGGTCCGCTGGTTTGACTGTTGCCGGGCCCCACAACAGGGGACCGGACCGGCTGTGCTTGCTCGTACATTTGCACTGCACTGACAAACAACGTTTGAGCAGTCTTTACCTATCAGAGATGCATGAATATCAGAGATGTTCGCGATTAGTCTGAAGAAGTGATACTGTATTTGCCCTTATATGGACAGATCTGCGCGTGACGCAGTGAGTATATTGTTTTTCAGCAAGCGACAGACCAATATACAGGACGAAGATGTGAACCTACGTAAGGAGTCAGACACAACCAACTTAACTTTTCTTGGGCATGTTACGCAATGCGTATGGCATTCAATTTTTCAGGAAGCGGTAGACCAAGTTACAAGACCTACGCGAGGAGGCAGAACTAGGGGCGCGTATTTAAACGTTACATCAGGTACAGGTACAGAGGTTTATCTATATGTCCGGAAATGTACCTGTACCTACATATATGCATATGATACTTTGACTGTTCCTGAAAGATCTGCTGTATATTAACAAGCTAGTCAGTAAACAGTTTTAAAAAGCAAGTAGCACATGAGTGGATCCGGAAGAACCATATAGACAAGTAATATTAACACCGAGCAGATTATTATTGGAATGAGCAGAGCACTTTGGACTAATGCCTCTGACTATTTACAGCTTAGAGGTACATATCCAATATTTTGTCACAAACTTCTCTGTTACATAGCGGATCATAATGACCCCCAGCGGGGGTCTTCACGCTTCGTTAAAATTGAAAAATCTCAAGATTCATTCTAAAGATCTCAATATTTTAGACGAAATCTTGAGATCTTATAAGACAA